CCCTCTGTGCCTCAAATAAAATACTTTGGCACTTCCCTGTTTTATGATAGCTGCTGCATAAACACATTCATTCACATTTGTGAGATGTTCAAACACACCAATAATCAGACAACCACAATGACTGGGATGGTTAAAATCATCTGGCTGTATTTAATCATCTCTTGTCAGAAGTGTGTGCATCTTTAATCACATGCACACGGGATACAGCAGCATTACTGCTGAGAAATAAGCACTGTACTAAAATAAAATAAAACAAAAAAGCGCCAAAAATTCCATGTTCCCCACAAAAAATATTTTGCAGATCAGGGCAGCAATTGTATAAATGAAGCTTAGCATCTCCCCATTCCAGTTCCCCCAAAACAGGGACAGGCTCTTACTAAAAGAAACCTTATCAAAGCATTAAGTCATATTCCACTGGAGATGTGTGAAGTCAAGAGCAATTACAGCAGCTCCCAGACTTCCATCTTGATATCAAGGAAAAGTACACAAAAGAAATGCTACTAAAGGCACAAGCACAGTTTTAAAAACAACCTCACAAAGAAGATGCCAGAAGAGTCAGGGCCATGAGTCACATCTGTTTCCAGGACATGATGAGGACACTGAACTTTCAGAGTGAATTCCATTTAAAAACTGTGGAATTGAGCAACAGCTGAAATGAGAAAGCAGGAAAGCCAAGGCTCCAGCAGCACAGCAGGGGAGGGTCACTGTGGGAATGTGTGAAGGCAGCTGCCTTCACCTGGCACCTCAGGGCAAGGCTGGCAGCTTTGGGCACGGGCTAAGGCAGATCCAGAAGGTCTTTTATCTCCTGCTCCTGCCACTCTGAGCCGTGCTGGCATCCCACGCTCGTACAGAAACTGCTGCCACGTCCTCCCACCCCTTTTCCTGGGGGAAAAGGCAAACTCAGGGGTGTCTCCCTTCTTCTCCCTCCCTCCCTGAGCACCAAAGGCTCAGGAGGCTGCTGTGTCACCCGATCCCCCCCTTCCCTTTTCACTGCTTTCATAAATTAAGCTGAGCAACAATAGAGATGAGAGAAAGCAGGACAATGTGGTAAATGTAGCAGAAAGAAATTTGAATTGTAATGAGGAGAGCTAATCAGGAAAAGAATGGACTATAGAAAAAAAGCACTAATGAGTTTCTAAATAAATTCAAAAGGTTAATATTGTTCTATCTAACAAATAGGAGAAGAATCCCAATGTGAAATTAAAGGCCTCACTCCAGTGCCCTTGCAGCCATATGTTAAATCTGTAACACCCACTCTATTTACCTCCCTGTCCACCACAGCTTCCTGATACCTCCCATGGATGGCTCCTGGAAATGGGATCTCTGCAGGTCAGCCACGTCTCCCCATCTCTTTTGTGTGTGTACATCAAGTGCTTGAGCCAAAGTCAATAAGTCACAGACTCTCTTTGACCTACAGAGTTTGTACCAAGATTTTTTTGACTTGTTTATGTTGGCACTGGCAAATCAGTAATCAAAATACAGTCTTCAAATAGAGAGGGATGTGTGTGTGTTTGTGAAGTGCTGGACAACACAGTTTTCCAGCACATTTGTATTCCCTTTTATTATGACGTGCATTGACAGGGTGAATAAAAAGCCAAGACAGGTTAACTGAAGAAAGAGTAGGAGAAAATAAAAGTTTATAAAAAAAAACCAACTTGGAGGTTTTATTGTTTGTTTGGTTTAATTTATATGATACCAGTACTTCAAAATATAAAGATAAGATTTTCTGTATATAATCAAAAATTAAAATATTCAGAGTCCTTTATGCATTCTATTACAAAACATGGTAAATTTTTTTTTTCAGCCAAAGTATAATATTTTTTTAGGTGAGGAGAGCAGCTCCTTTCAAGAATAAAAGAAAAATCCAATTCCCAGCAAAGTAATGGACTCAGAGGCTTTTCATAAGAATAGAGGATCTGCTCTACAATTTTTTTTTACTTGAAAGAAGGAAATAGTGCCATTATAATATTTTAAACTGAATACAAAAAACCAGAATGACATCATACTTTGGGGAGAACTCTGAGTGTATTTGTGTGCGTGGCTGTCCATCTGTCTTCTGAACTGCAACCAAAACCTAGTGGAGAGAGACAAGGGTGGCTGCACATTTATCTCCCCCTGGCCCAAGGATGGCAGGAGATGAGTTAGGTGCAGTCCCAGAGCTGTGTAACCTCGTTATGATCCAGCTTTACCCACAGTGATAAATTTCTTTTCACCCTGTCCCGCGGGCACAGTCACAGTCACACGGTGACGTGCGGGCACAGCCGGGGCTCTGGCATGAGTCAGAGCCCTCAGAGCCAGCCCAGCACACCCCAACAGAGGAGTGTCTGTGCTCCTCTGCCCTGCCCCACACTCCCAGCACACCCACAGCCCCACAGGGCAGAGCTGCAGCCCCATCACTCCTATCACAGAAAATGAAAAACACTGGGATGTATGTGCACCTTTTTCCTTTCAGGCGTGTGAATTATTCCAAAGTTGGAGCAACACTCCCGTGCCAGGACTGGCCATCTCATGTATTATTCACAGGAACCTTGCAAAATGTTGCTCGGCTGCTCACCTGCCGTGAATAATTTTGTTTGACAGGCAGGTTAAATGCTTTAGCTTCCTAATCCTCCTCCTCCTCCTTGCAAGGAAGGAGGGCATTGTGGGCTGCCCTGAGAGGCATCACAGCGAGGATGTTTAATAGAGGCTCCGGTGCAGTTCAACCCTGGTAGACAAAGACTGAATAAAACCCTGGACTCGAGAGATGGGAGTGGGAAATGCACAGAGACTGAACAGTCAAGAAATGTAAACTCTTTGTGAATAACCCTTTGAATGCCAGTGGAAGACCAGCACTTACCCTCACGTCAATTATGGAGAGCTCACCAGAGCTCCTCAGTGTTTCCAGCCCAACCCATGAGGGAAATAAGATGGAAAGCAGTGGAGCAGCTTGTGCTCCTGAGCCCAAGGTGGATGTCTGTGGCTGAGTGTTTCTGGCACTGATCTCTCTCTATAAAAGCTTGAATGCAAAAATTTTTCTGAGACAATAGGCACTGCTCTGAAATTGCTAACTGTGAATAAACAATACAGTTGCATAGCTCATCATAACCCTAATGATCCTCTCTAAATCATGCAGGCCCTTCACCCAGATCTATTGGCCACATTAGCAGACTGCTGAGTGCAGGAAATATGGAGAGGATCATTTTTAAAGGGTTTTGCATGCCATGCTCATTGGGAACCCTTTGAGATGGAGTCTAAAGCAGATGGTGAAATGGGAAAATTATTCACGTTAATTCTTTAGCAGCCTAAGATAAATTTAGAGAATAATGAAATAATGAAAGCCCCATCCAGTCACGTTTTTGCTTTTGCAGCAGTCATCAAAGTCCTGACAGGGAGAACCCAACGCTGCTGCATTCCACACACAAAGCTGCTGCTTGTTAATTGGTTCAAAGACACAGGAACAGTAATATCCTGTAAAAAAAATATCATGTCATCCCCTTTCATTAGCTATTGTTCAATGGCCTGATGAAACAACAAACAAGCTGAAACAGCAAATAAACTTCAGAGTGCTGAATGCTCAAACCCTTTCAATCTTGCTTCATGCACATTTTCTAGGGAACAGCATCATCTGCTTTGAGCTTCTCAGCCACTCTCCAATCCCTTACAGTGAGACAACATTACTAGTCCCCCATGTTACAGGCAGGGAAAAAGAGGCACTGCTTTTATCCATGGGAGAAACAGCAAAGTCAGGATGGCAGCCTACCTGGTCCAACCCCAAGACTGAGTTTTCCTGCTCATTTTGCAGGAGAATCAGCTCCTTGGGTGACCTGGTGTATTGAACCACCAAAGTCTGCTGAGCTAAACATGGTGCCCCTGCCACAGCAACACCAGGACTTGTAGCCTGTGATGTTTTCCTTCACCCAGGTAATCCAGAGGATGTGAGGAACATGCCAAAGGGGAGCCTCACTCCCACAGCAGCAGGTTATACAGAACTTTACTCACCCTCTCAAGCGCAAGAAGCAAATAAAGAACATCACAGAATTCATGAGACATTTCTGTGTGAGGGCAGCACAAAGCTCTGTTCAACTGCTGAAAGCAAATGAGGGAGAATGTAAATGTTTCATAATAAAAATGCTAAAGTTCACTCCTAAAATCACTAGTCAGAATCACCTAATATCAAGACATAATATTTGCTAAGTGGAAATCTCTGGCTCAGTTTTCACTCCTGACACTTTACTGCCCTGTTGCTTTCTGGCTATTTTATTTCCTATTAGTTTTTGGCACGATGAGTAAAACCTACCAAGGCTTACAAGCATTTGTAGCCGTAACCTGCACTTCTCTAAGTGCCTGTCCATGGTGCTGACGCTGTTTTAATTTTGTTCTCTTCTCTCTAACGCTCTAAGGTGTGCAGAGTGAGCTCAGCTCACACAGTGAGAGCTGCTTCATTAGTGTTTTCCCATCAGGTTAGTGCTGGGATGAGCATCCAGCTGTTTCAGTGAATAAACATATCACCTGGACAGACTGCCCTGCCTCATTTCCCAGAGTCCAACAACAGTGAGACAGAAGTTACCACGCTCCAGCACTGCTCACTGACTGCATGGATTCCCTCTGCAGCCCTGGCTGAGGGATGAGAGCCACCGGCAGCACCCAGAGCTCGGGGCAGGCTCTGGGAGCTGCTCCCACCCATCTGACCCCTTCCAGGGCTCAGAGGAGTCAGTGACTGTGGCTTGGGAAGGTGCTACACATCAGCTCAGCTCTGGGGACTGCACTTCTGCTCTCAGTCCATGGTTAGTGACAGCAAAGGTGCACTTGCTGCTGCCACACACGGCTCTCACAGCTCTGCTCCCTCAGCTCCTGAGGTCCCAACCTCTTGTGTGTCCTTAAAACACCACTGCTTCCCCAGCTCCAGCAACAAGCTCAGAAAATCCTTCTTCCCACTTTGAAACATCCCCTGGGCTGAGGCTTTCCTGCCCCCGTCCCAAAATGAGGAACCCTACCAGAGGGGAGGAGATGGGAGAAAACTTTCTCTGTGTTCTTGTCTCTTCCCAGCGTCAGCTGAAAGCCCCGAGCCCTGGAAAAAGCACAGCTTGGTAAAGGTCATGATCTGAATGCAGATTATTCATGGACATGAATTTCTCTGCTGAATTATTCCAAACACATAATTCAGCTGGCTGTACTGAGCACATATAGGATGTGCCTCTGCAGCTACTCTAAATACAAAGCAGGGCATTAAATAAGGACAGTCACTTGCTTGGAAGCATAATATTTTATTTGCCACAAATATGCTAATTCTTTAATTTTCAGTCTCTATGCTAGCTAGAAATACAACCTGAGCAAGATAAGTTTTCTTGTAGCTGATTACTAGGTAGCATATCACAATTGATATATTAGATTTTAGACCCTGATTCAGTGTTGCCTTAGACTCTTGTGCAATTTTGATCACATGGTAATGGATTTTGAGTTGCTTACAAACATGTCAAGACTATCATCTGCCAGCTATGTCCCCATGCTGCTCATTATTTGTGCCTACCGAGTAAATTTATTGGCAGGTTTGTCAGAAAATGTAATGTTTTTTCTAGTGCCTTCTAAATAAATATCAAGAGGCAGTGAAGAACCAGCCATCTCAATGCCTACATCAACCTCCTGATATATCACCTGGGTCCTGGACTCCAGTTTACTGGATTCAGATAATAAAAGCAAAACCAGAAACCTCACTTAACACTTCTTAAACTTCATTAGTCCTGCTATTAGTGCTGGATAAATCTTCACTTTTAAAAGGCTATTTTCCCTCACTGTGTCTCTGTTCAGCACAAGCTCCCACTGGGAGGGACCACAGGCATAATTTTCAACAGGATCTGGGGAGGCCAGAAAAATTTATTCTGTCTGTTGTAGGTAGGTCTAGTTAGAGCTAATCTAATTACACAGGAATTATGGGAATGGTCTCCAAGGAGGGAGGCACCAGGCCTTGGTCCAAGAGGAATAAACTGCAATTCACCAAAGCAGAAAGGCTCAGAGATATCAGCCTGGGGGCTAGAGCATGGAATTCCTGCTTGGGGTGCTCCTGCACACGGTTAATTATCCTGACTTTAAGTGTCCTGCCCAATCTGGGAAAGGGAAGCAGATGTTAAAGCTGGGCTGCAGTGATTTTAGCAGCTGGGACAATACAGACACGTCAGCTCAGGTCCATCTCTGAAATCAGCAGCTCTGGGGAGTTCTCCCTTTCTTGACAATTTATAAAAGCATCTCCAGGTATTTTTAACTCCTATGGTACTTTACCATGACAAAAAAGGGATGGGGAAGTTCACTATCATCAAATTTAAGAGACAAATTTACCGTTGCCCTGTGGTGTTTGTGACTGTTGATAGATTTAGTGCTCGAGTCCAACACCAGCACAGAGAATTTTAGGAGATGAAGAAAACAGAAAAACTATTTTAAAACAAGTGCAACTCATTGCATCTCCTGAATAGATAGAGTGCATTGCTGGTTCAGGATAAATATTCAATTTGATTCTTATCTTATCCAAACTCCAAATCTCTTTTGTCAGTTACTTTCCAAGGCACTGAAGAAGAGAGCTCTGAATTTATATTTAAAAGAAACAGAAACAACAGAGCCCTTCAGCTTCCTTCACAGGGAATTAGCCCAGCCCAGACTTCTGACAACCTTGGGGAAGTGCAAACCCAGAATGAAACTCCAAAACTGCAGAAATAATGGCAGGATCTAAACATTACAAAGCAATTTTCCAGACTTATCAGGGCAGGTCAAAACCCAGGACTGGTCACACTGGCAGGATGTAACCTTGTTCTACAAGACCAAGGGCTTTATTTAGATCTTTGTCAAAAAATATTCAGGTATAAGGGACTTTTATCTCATCTGTTCTCTTCACCATCCCATCCTGTGACCTACAAAATTGCTTCTCCGCTTATTCCACAGATGGGAGAAGTCAAAACAAGCACCACCTTAAGCCAGATATTTTTCTTGGCCATGTCCAGTCCATGGAGCTCATTAGAAAATTTTGATGCAAACGTCCCTTTGAAAAATACACATCTATTAAGTGGAAGCTGATCAGAAGAAAGATTCCCTTTCATATGTTCCCTTGCTTTTGATAAAAAAAAAAAGGTCAGAAAATTATTTTTACAGTTCAAATAAAAAAACGCTCAAAGTTAGATGAAGTATCTTTTTAAAAATGCAGGAAAACATTAATTCTGTTCAAGTAAACAAAATTAATTGACATGTTCCCTTTCCACTCACACCAGGGGAGTGACAAGTGGACAGCAGAGCAAATCCTCAGGATGCTCTTCTTGATCTGTGTTTTCTGTAGGAGAGGATCCCTGTGCTTCTCTCAGCTGTGAGCAAGAAGCACTTTATACTTAGAAAAGTAGCCTGGACTGACTAAAAGTACCTACATAAAGTAGGAAATCACCTTGGTCTTGTTGCCACAAGGCAAGGTTTGGGCATGAATCCATCACATCTTAAAACCACCCCTCCTCTGTGGCTAAAGCCCCACCAGCTGAAGGAGTGTTGTAGTGACAAAGGTACACAGAGCACCCCCAAGACCTGTGGGGGTTCTATGGAAAACTTCAGCACAATAAAGTGTTTTCCCTGTTGGACACATGAAGGCTTGGGTATTCCTCTCCTATATCTTAATTTTTCACTTGTCTCCTTTACAGTCTGGAGGCAAAATGGATCCAGTGCTCTTCAAGAAGGAAAACAGGAGGAAGGAAAGTATAACCCCTTTTATCTTTGTTGTTCCCAAACCTACTCAACCTCATTATTCCCATGGTGCTTGCTCACACACCAAGAGCAGGCCAGGGCCCCTTGGACACTCTGGAGGACACCTGGGTCTTTGTGGGCACAAATACAGACCCCCAGTTTCCACCACGGAGGGGTTGTGCACAGGAAGGACAAGCCCAACAGATTTTGGGTGTTGTGGGACTTGGAACAAAACAGTGGAGATGAGTCCAAAAGCACAGACAGGTTTAGCTCCCAGCAGGACACGTCATGCTACAGAATGCATGTGTGGGAAATAAAAGATAAACAGAAAAGATGAAACTGCTTCCAACAGCATCTTTAGCCAACCAGCAGAAAACCAACTGCTCAGCAATGGGCTTCATTAAGTAGCTTATTTGTGAGAGCTGGGCAACCCAAACCCAGGGGATTCTTCCAGAAATCCTCTGAGCAGGGCACAAGCGTGGGTGCCTTCAGCAGAAGCACTTTCTGCTTTGTTTTTATATAGGGAAAGGGAAGGAGGAAGGAAACAAATGTAATAGGAAGGTGTGGAGCAGCAGACTGAGACAGCAGCAGGGGTGACAGGAAACAATTTATAACTTACTCAAGAATCTTTTCCCAGTCATCTGTTCTGCAGCTCAGACAGCAGTGCAGGTTTGTCTGACTATATCACACCCAGACACAAAAGCACACGTACATTCCCAGTTGTTTGCAGCCACCTCTTTCATCCTGGGCTATGGGAATGTTTCAACAAGCCACATTTGTGCTGATTGGTTTCGTGCTTAGAGCTGAACGTAGATGGTGACAAAATTCAGTTTGTTATGACCAGCTGAAAGGGGAAACTGCTCTAATCCCATGGAAACTTCTCTTACAATAAATAATAACATGAGCTGAGATTCATGGCTTTTTGTGCAATATGGCAAAGTCAGAAAGAAAAATGCAAAAGACCATCCCTGAGATACACCTGCACCTTTGTCCTGTGCTAACTTGAGAGAGAGAGAGACTGGTGCTTCAGCTCAACAAGCTCTGGCCACCAGAGCTCTGGAGAAGTGAAACACAATGCTGCCATTTCCCAACACCCTTAAATAAATCCCAGCACTTAAACATGGGATTTGTTAGCTTGAGTGTCCTGTTGGAACTCATTAATCACCAGAGAACCACCTGGGCTAGAAGGGACCCACCAGGATCATCCAGATCAACTCTGGCCCTGCACAGACACCCCAACAATCCCACCCTGTCCCTCAGAGCATTGTCCAGACACTCCTGGAGCTCTGGCAGCCTTAGGGCTTTGCCCAAACCCTGGGGAGCCTGTTCAGTGCCAACCACCCTCTGGGGGAAGAACCTTTTCCTGAGATCCAACCTAACTCTGCCCTGACACAGCTTCATGCTATACCCTCTACCAAGGTTTGGGTGGGGACAAAGGGGCTCTCAGAAGCCTTGTGACACCTACCAACTGCACTTTGCATCCCTTTCCCTGGGTTTTGGGTTGGGTCACAATCTGCATCTCCAGATTTGCTGTATCCTCCTGCAAGGTTTGCCTGATGGCAGTGCCAGTCCCTGCTGCTGATCAGGGTTCAGAGCTATTTCCCATCAGGTGACCATTAACTGGCTATGCTGAGTCCAGGGAAAAACTGCAAGCAGGGAGTTAAGGAGGAAAAATCTAAGGAAAAATCTTCCTTCACAGTGTGGTTGCATGGGAATGACATGTTAAATTTACACCCATCACTCCATGTAATAATTACCCAGGCCTTCTGTTTGCACGGTAATTACAATGAAACAGTTTAAGGGGGAGGAAGAAAGTCTCAGAAACCATCATGGCTGGTTTTCTAGTCACTGCTTCCATCTTCAATTCCTCTTCCCTCTGCAGCAAAGGAGACATTTGGGCTCGTGACTTCCCCTGACTGTGACTACAGGGACCTGCTCTAGGTCTGTGGGATGTGCTCAGTGTGGAGGAGCTCAATGCCTCACACCCCACCACTGACATCAGGGCCACATCTGCAGGTGCCACCCCACAGGCTGCAAAGGTGCCATCAGCTGCCCAAAGAGCCCTTTGTGGCTGCCTCAAGAATATCTAGTGAGTTCTTCAGATCCACCAGAACAAACTCTCATTAGCTTTCCAGTCTCTCCCATCTGCACAGGAGAAGGCTCCTTGATTCCCTAAATCAGCAGACAACTGGTGTGTAGGTTCAGCTGGGACCAAGCACAGTGAGACAGGAGCATCCCCCACCCTCCTTGGTGGCAGACAGGGAGCTTCAAAGCCTGTGGGTGACCACGCTGGGGTCACTAACACGCTTCACTTCAAACACCAACACAAACTCCCAGCCTGAAGCATTAAAATTTAATTAC